CTGGGGAATTCTGGGAGTTGGAGTCCACCCCTCTGAAAGCTGCCAAGGTTGAGAAACACTGTCCTAGAGTCACCCCAGAGAGTTTTTGCAGGTGCCTGGCTAGATCTTTTGGGAAACAGATCTGCTGTGCCTTTTTGCAATTCCCCACTTGCCATTTTATACTTTCTTCTTTGGAATGACTATTATTAAAAGTCTGTTAGCCATAAAGAGTTGCATTTGCAAGATGGGTGGTCAAAAAAATCCACTGATTTTAAACCCTACTACTACTAATAAATAAATAAATAAATAAATAAATAAATAAATAAGGGACCATCTTGGCTGAGCTGTCGAAATGGCAACTCCTTGTTGACGCGCAGTCTGAGAGAATCCTAGGAGTGTCAAACCGGATCTTTACACAACGGGAAGCTGGTTAATACTAAAACATTAAACACATGGCAGCGTGCCACCAAAAAGGGCATGGGTTGCGTCTTTGAAACCCTGGAGATGCCAATTCCTTTTATAACCCTTCTGTGACCTTTCTGACTAGTACAGGTGTATAACCTTAGGCAGGAGAAGAGAATTTAGCAAGAAAAATCCAAATGTTGTATCTCACCCCCCATTTTTGGGGAGGGTCCCAAAGGTTCATCTCCATCCCGTATTCCTGTTCCTCTGCTCTTCAGGGCTTGTCCTCCTTGATCATAGAGTCACTCTTTCCTGTTCCCATGGAAGACTCTGCCCTTGATAAGTGGCCCCAAACTGTGACCTTAATCCTGCAGGTCTCCTGGTTGGGACGCTGGATGCCGTTCTGGATTCCACGTCAAAAGTCGCCCCGTTCCGTATCTTGCACCAAACCCCAGATTCTCAAGTTTATTGGTCTATTGCGTGTGGTAAGTATGGATCATTCCCAACGGAGACGCCTTTAAACAGGGAGGGGTGGTGAGCGGTGAACCAGAATCTGGGAAAAGGGTCTGAAGGAAGAGCCATTTTTCATCAGCAGAGTTTTTGCTTAAATTTAGAGGTGTGTGTGCCAGATCTGGGGGACAAAATTGCTCAGTGGGCTGGTTTCAGTTTAAGCTGATGAGGACAACCAAGCATATAAGGTAGACAAGAGAGCAATAAGATAAAACATGCTGGCATTAGCAAACTTTAAGGCAAAAACTTGCAAGATCTGGGAAACAGATGTGCTGCTATCAGAGAATAAATTATTCAAATACATTGGAGTGCCCCGGGAACGTTGTTCTTAAAGGGGTTATGAGGCGAAAGTGCATGTCCCTGTAACTGCTTCTGTAGAAATCCAGAACTTTCCTAACGTCTCTGCCTAAGGCCGAAGGGGAAACCTCCCACTTACAAACTTAGATGAATTATATTGAATGCTAATTTTGTCACTCAGGAGCCAGCAGAGAAGAGATAACAGAACATTGGGAATGGTTAGAGCGCAACGTCATGGAGACGCTGTCTGTGTTCGACTCCAATGAGGACATCATAAGCTTTGTGCACGGGAAAATTCGAGTACGTAGAATACATCGTGAGTAACTTCAGGCTGGGGTTTTCTTTTGCCCTGGGGAGGGTTGTTGAGAAAGAGTGAGCAAGCAGAAGATAAACAGATGAATCCCTGCTGATGCCGTTTGCTATGCTAATTTCGTGCATCAGATCTAGCAAAATGTGTTTCCTTTCAGCAGCATGGCTTTGTTCAAATTCTCTGGCACTGAGACATGATTCACATTTTATTTAATCCTAGTGCCTACCTAGGATTAAAATTCATTGTTCCCAGTGGGGCTTACTTCCTCATTGGTGGCCATAGGACAACAGAGCTTTCATTAATATATTACTTAATTGCCTGTCAAATGCAATCCTATGCATGTCAACTTAGAAGATATGAGTCCATCCTGGTTTATTCCAGGTAGACCCCCACCTGGGATAGCAGCCTCAGATTTCTTTTTCTCATCAAAGTGCGAGCCCTGATCTGACGCTAGATACTTCCTTTATTTTCTATGGGATTAGCTGTTTTATTATCATTGCTTCTCTACTTCCCAGCTATCTAACCCATCTTCAGTTCCTACTGCTGTGTGTCTTCGTATTGGAGACCATGATGGTGGTTGGGTTTTTGGCAGAGGGGCCTTGACTCCCATTTCAGATGGATTACTTTTAGAGATTGTTGGTTGATATTTATTAGCTTCCTCACTCCTTTGTTTCAGGGCTTGATTGCTGAGGAAAGTAAAGGGTCTTTAATAAAAGAAGAAGATCCGGAGAAGTTCCGGGAGGCCCATCTGAAGTTTGAGAAGTGTTTTGGGTTAGCTGAACAGGAGAAGCTAGTGACTTACTACTCCTGTAGCTACTGGAGAGGCCGGATACCCTGCCAAGGTTGGCTGTATCTGAGTACCAACTTCCTTAGCTTTTACTCTTTTCTGCTGGGAGCTGAGGGTAAGTAAAGTCATTTACCATACATGACTTTTCTTTTAAAAGAGCCTTTTCTTTTTTTAAAAAAACTTCATGTCTATCTTTGTTTAGTATTTTTTGCTTTTGATTGTCTAGACCACTGTTTCTCAATCTCAGCGACTTTCAGATGGGTGGACTTCAACTCCCAGAATTCCCCAGCCAGCACGGGAGTTGAAGGGAGTTGAATAAACTCCAACATTTTAAAATCCCAAAATTGTAAAGCATCATCTCCTCCTGATTGCTATAGGAGGTCAACATGGTCTCTGGGTTGTGAACCCTCAACAGTGCAACCTAAGATATTGGACAGTAGTGTGAAGGTCACAAAGGGATTGACTTTGAAAAGTTGTGAGCCTGGATGGAGCACCTTCACGACTCCATCTGGATTTCATTGGAAAGGCTCCTTGTGGTTTGACAAGGAGGAGGACCAAAGCTGAGTTTTTCTCTGCTTTTCTCCCCTCTGCAGTCAAACTCATAATAGCCTGGGATGAAATCTCCAGACTCGAAAAGACATCGACTGTGATTCTGACAGAAAGCATCCACGTCTGTGCCCATGGGGAGGACCATTACTTCTCCATGTTTTTGCACCTCGGTGAAACCTTCCTCCTCATGGAACAGCTGGCTCTCTACGCTGTTCGGAGACTCTTCGACAAGGAGGGGTTTGAAGTTGACCCGGTCCTCTGCGACCCCTTGCAAATCACTAAGAGGTCAGTAATTTGTAGATAAAACCAAGAAGGAAGATCTACTTGCTGTCGGGGGCAGAGGAGAAAGACCTGTGTGGGCTTTTAAAAAGTTACTTGGTAAAGAAATGGTAATGGGTTAGCAGTACAAGACTTGTTTGTAGAAGGTGCCAGGTTTGATCCCCGTCTTTGGGTATGGTTGAGAAGATGCTTTGTTCCCTATTAATCTAGAAATCAGAGACTTCATCCTGTTTAGACTAAGATCCACACTTATTCCAAATAGGAATTTGAGGGCCACTTTACTTAATTTTGACACACACACCCCCTTTGAATTGAAATGAAAGAACTGCTGTTAGTGCAAATGTCCTTAAATCAGCAGACCTCAAGAATGTGCAAACTCTTGGGAGTTCTGCTTAGCCTCCCTTCTCTCTCCATTTAGAAAGAGAGCCGGATCTTTTAGAGTGGATTATTCTAAACCTGCAGTTTAGCTGCAGCTTTCTTGGGTTTTGCTTCTTTTACAATATCTGCTCATGTTATTAGCTTGAGCACCCTAGGAATGGAAAAATGGAATGCAGATCAAAATAATAAAATTATCTAGGAGGAGGTGGAATGACTTCTGGCTTCTGCAGGCCCTGTTTTGGTTTTTGTTTCAGCTTGTTAAATTAGAAGTTCAGCATCAGCCAGTTTAAGTCGAGCACCAAATTGTGCAGAAATGGGCTGCCTGCTGAATATCCAGCTGAGGGAAAATCTAGATGTAGTATCTGAACTGAGCTCCCAGGCCTTCCACACACAAGTCCCACCTGCTTAACTTTCTTTATTTCAGCCACATAATTTAGAGGAGGAATTGCTTGTTGAATATTAAACTTTTGGAAGTCAGAAATCTTGAAACTATCCAGAGAGCCATAATTTTCTACCAGTTCTGCCCTACACAATCTAGAACCATCTTTGGAAGTCAAACGACGTAGATCTGCGGTTCTCTCTTCTTCCCATCGTGCAGATGGCTACATTGTCATCTAAAAGTTTTGCAGACTACCAGGAAAACAATAACAATGTGCCAAACAGACTGGCATTTTGATGTAGAATCTAGAATTGTAGATGCAGGAATTAAAGCATCCATGCCTGGTTCTTGTCTACCTTCTGTTTGAAGAAATCCAGCATCATTTCTCTGGACAGTTGGTTCTTCAGCCAACCTACTCTTGAGTTAGACAGTCTTTTCCACCTGTCCTTTTCTCTTCAGGAAAGTATGATATGCTCTGGTATGGAATTAAGCCCCACTGAAATCTGGGGTAATTATTTTCTGCCAACAGGATTCTTCACTCAATACAAATCAAAGTACCTCCTTCTTTGCTTTGTTCAAAAGTCTACCAGACACTTCTGTTTTGCCCCATAGAGGACTTGAGAACCGGGCCCATAGCGAGCAGTTCAACGCCTTCTTCAGGCTCCCCAAGGAGGAGACGCTGCGGGAAGTTCACGAGTGTTTCCTGTGGGTGCCCTTCAGTCACTACAACACTCTAGGGAAGATGTGCCTTTCTGAGAATTACATCTGTTTTGCCAGTCAAGATGGCTGCTTGTGCTGCGTCATCATCCCCTTGAGAGAGGTGAGCTGAGTGGATGTCAGAGCGGGTTCCCTTGACCCAACTTCAGAAGTCCTCTGCAAACATTCGGGCCAAACCTTAGATGGCAAGGAACTGGTCTTTCCTTGGCAACCAAAGGGTAGGAAGGAAGGGAGCAGCAGAGAAGAAGGGTGTGAGAAAAGAGACAAAAATGTAATTGCAGAAAAAGAGAAAAAGCTGGTGACAAATTATACTTCTTAGAGAACACACCCTTTAATAGACAGAAACCATGCCCTGTTCAAAAGAAATACTTCCTGGCAGTAGGTAGAAGGATATTTTATAGCACAGACCTATATCCCTCCATAGAAACTGACGATGTTATGACTACAGTGTCCAGGTTGGCATCTGAGTCCTGGCACCTCAGGAAAACACAGAGATGGGGTAGGTTGGCCTACCTACACATTGCTGTTGACACAAAGGCTGGTTGTGTTCCCAACTTGCAGCAGGTTTTTTTTCTTGTCTAGCTAAGCTGAAGATTGTCTTGAATGTCAGGAGAAGCTAGTACAAAACTGGGCCACACTTGGTTAATAAAACAGGCGGCCTGGGTCATGCACCCAGGATTAGTTGAAGAGCCTGTGGTGGACTCAGTCAGTATACATAACTGGAGATACGCAGGAATTCAACAGTGAGGCCTAATGTCAAGGTTTAGACCTGGCTACGCCTACAGCAGAGCCTCATTCTGCTTCATGGATTGGGGTGTTTGAGATTCATCCATCTGACCTTGCAGGAGCTTGATCTCAGTCTGATGGCCAGCAAAGGGGCTGACGGGAGTGTTTTCTTCCCCAATGCCTGCAGGTCACAGCAGTTGAGGTAGCTGACCATGTCAACAAGGCAATCAGCATTGCTACCAAAGGACAGAGGGCGTTCCGTTTCTCTGAAGTGAGGGATTTTGAACCGCTGGTGGCGAAGCTCAGGAGCAGATGTAATGCAGCCCCAAGCCCGCAACACAGCATGAGCGCGGAGGTAATGAAAGGTGCACCCGTTCCTTGTTCGAGGTGCCTGGAAAAGGGTGCCTCGTCTCACGGGGCAGAGATCTCTTTTCTTGCCTGTATGCCTGTGGAACTCTCTGCCACCGGATGGGAGGGCAGCCACTCGCACAGAGGGCTTCTCAAAGGCCTGTTCAGGGAGGGGAAAGCTCTAAATAAGGAGAATATTAGTGTGCTAATCAAAATTGTCACTCCTGCCACTTCTCCTGCGGTAGGTGCAAATTGGGCAGGGAGAATAAATTTGGCTCCCAAAAGGGCTGGGTTTGCCCAGTGCACTTAACCAGGTTAGGGTTAGCATGATTTTGCAGCTGCATTCACACAACACGTTCATCTTGGTAAGCTTACATCTCAGTTATGGTTTTTTTTTTTTCCTTTGCTTTTCATGGCTTAGAATCGGATTAAATTTTTGGTTCAGCATGTCGTGTGAATCCAGAAAACGGGTCAGTTTGGTGACCCAATTATTTCTGATACAGGCTGAGCAATTTGACCACGCTGTTTGGAGAAGTGGGGGGGGAGTGGCGTTGCAAAATGCAGAAAGGGAGCCCCACCCTCCCATTTGCACCAATGATTGCGCTTCTGCAGAATCGAATCCTTCATTTATTTGACGTACACCCTGCCTTTCTTCTATAACAAAATTGTGCACGTTTGCTTCCGGCTTCTCGATGCCTCTTGCAGGTTGGGGTTAGCCCGGACGCCAGCCCTGTCTGGGACGACTACGAGGGGCAGCCGATGGCCAGCCACAAAGGCAGCAGTGCCACGGTTAGCACAGAAGCCCTGATGACCGTTTTTCATCCTCAGGACGCGGAGAACCTTGATTCTAAGATGGTAAGAAGAGAAACTGGTTCTCGTCAGTGGCAAGAGATCTGTTGCAGTACTTCGCTTCCTCTGTGCTTTGCTGAATTTTTCCTTTTCACGTGCGGCTTCTGCCATCTTTGTGGTATAAAGAAGGCCCTTGTCTTCCTTGTTCTCCTCTGCTTCCAGAAACATCCAACTGGGTCTCCTACCGTGGTCATTCAGATTTTTGGCTTTTGGCTTCTTTTTGTATGAATCAGCAAGTGTGTCCCTCTGCTTCAATGTGCCCCAGATGGATGGATGCAAATTTTACTCTGGGTTTATTGCAATTTGCCTTATTTCATGAAGGCCCTTCGGAGGCCTCTGTAAGGTTGCAACCCTGGAGAGAAATACTGTATTTAATCCCGCCAGTATCTTTTTGTGCATGGCCATCCATTTTCCGGTTCTCATTCCTATTAGGACGGGAGCCTCTTGATTTTCCATTCTTCTGTCTCTTTTTAAAATAAAACAAAAGAAAAACAATTTATCGTTGAACTATAACACGCCCACAAAACAGGACAGCAGTGATGATGTGATATAACATGATGCATAAGAGTGATTAATATATGCTAAAATGGGGGTGAAGGGAAGAAAAGGCTGGTTGGTATTGATATTATTCGGGTTTTGTTTTTTTTTAATGCTCAGCCTCCATTTCTTTTTTTCAGATTGTATATTGTATGTTTTAAAGGTTATTTGGATTTTATTTTTAAACTTTGTTCACCAGCCAGAGTCACTTCGGTGAGAAGGGTGGCTGCATAAATCAAAATGAGTAACTAATAGAAAAGAGAGAAAAAGATGGGGTTTTTTTCATAAAAAAGGAACATAAAAGGAAAAAAACATATATTTCAGCTACTAAAGAATGCATTCAAGAGGTGTGTTCTTCATTTGTTCTTGAAATGTCTTTGTCTTGCAAAAGTGAGAAGATAGGACAAGATGTTTTAGCATGGTCTGGATTTAATAATATCTTAAAGGATCGGGCTGGTTTGATATTTATGGGATGTGGCACAGCATGTTTTTCCTTTGACGTCCCTCATAACCATGTTGATGGTGTCCCTGGCATTTTGTGATTGTGCTTAAGAGGCTTCTTGATAACCTTGTTCCATTAGTTGAAAGAAAAAATGAAAGAGCAGTCCTGGAACATCCTTTTCATAGAGTGTGGACGGGGTGTGAGTATGTTTCGGACGAAGAAAACACGAGACCTGATTGTCAGAGGGATCCCCGAAGTGTTAAGAGGAGAACTTTGGCTTCTCTTCTCAGGTATGGTCTGTACTTGGAATCGTAGTAGTAGTAGTAGTCGTAATGGTGTAGATTACTCCATTTATATAGTGCCTTCCTTGAAAGAAATAGTACCCAGTTAGACTTTAAGGAACATCTCTAGATGATCTTTCCCAGCATACCATGATATGTTGAGTAGGGAAAAGTCCATTCACGCTCAACTCCTGGTGACCACTTGAACTTATCTGTGGCATTTTCTTGGCAACAATTCAGATGTGGTTGCCCGTTGCTTTCTTTTGGGATCCTGCACATCTTCATCATGGTCTCCGCCTCAGCCCTGGGAGTTGCTAGTGGTCTCCTATCCGTGTGCACCAAGCAGCTCCAACTCAGTGTAGCTTTCTGTGATCAGTAGCCAAGATTGTCTAGGTGGTTTTGTAAAAATGTCATAATGGTATGCGGGAATGACCTTGGGAGACAGGAGGAAGAGCCACAGCCTAGACAACTGTCATGCAAAAGGTATCTGAGTCCACCAAAGGAAAGGGGGCATGGGAAGCCTCTCAGAGGTACCCTCCTTAGTTTTCTGGAAAGTAAAAGTAAAGGAGGGGAGAAGTGCTTTCAGACTTGCAAGATTCTGTTACTGTAACTTTACAATAAAGGA